CAAGCAATAGGTAATCAATGGGTGATTAACAGGTGACTACCAAATGAAGACATTTTTTGCTTCATTTGGTAGTTGCCTGTTGATCACCTGTTAATTGCCTACTGATTGCCCATTACTTGCCCATTGATTGCCTACTGATTGCCCACTCTAAAATAATTTTAAATTCTTTATGGCATTTCTCTCTCAAGTAAAATTTTAAATTTATTTTAATATTTCATTCAATTTAATATTATAAAAGAAATTTCAAATTTTTCTTGTCACTAAACCTGAAAGAAAATTTATAATTTTGCTATAGGAAAAACTTTAAATTATGTTTTAAATTATTATCTCCATTTATTTAAAGATTTTACAAATAGGGAAATGTTAAAATTAATTTCTAGTTTTTGTATAATGAAAATTTTAAATTCTGTTCAGAGTTTCTGCCAACCAAAAATGGTAATCTAAATTACAAATAATGTTTATCATTATGTAAGTTATTTTTTAAGGCAAGAAATTGTGAAATGCCTGATGTGACTAATTGTGTACCTGATAGACACATGTGTCACTATCCTATCAGGAACTAGCCATCTGAGACTAACAGAAATCTTGATCTAAAGTCTAATATACTTTAATTAAGTCTAGTCTAATAGTGTATGACTAGACCTAATTAGAGAGTGTAATGTATACAAATTTGAATTCTTTTTACACAATTTAGTATTTTACAATAGGTCTCTAATAGTATAATTAAACTGTTTATAATATTAAATCATTCAATTTTATATAATAACCACTCTTTTTATAAAATTTAGTATTTTATAATAAGTCTCTAATAGTATAATTAGACTGTTTATAATATGTAATAATTCAATTTTATAAAATGACTACTCTTTTAATATAATATAGTATTTTATAAGAGGAGTAAATAGTAGAATTAAATTATTAATAATAACTTATGAAAGTCTTATAAAATTCATTTAATAAAATGAAACACAGAGGTTACTGTATGATACCTTATAGAGATACCTCTGTATTTTATTAAAAATTCTAGCTACTACTAGTGCCCAGACAGCATTATCCTTCGATCTTCCAAATGAATGATCATGTAGCATTTTCACACTGCTTGTTATACTAAAAAGTTGCCCTATTGTCGCCACCAACATGCTAATTTGCATTGAGATACACAGCCCTAGCTTGTTTTGAGCTTTATCCTGCGCGCCACAACCCGATTCTCTCACTTCATACCTCGACGTACACGTACCAATCCTACATCTCAAGTCGCTCTTGGCCCATGGATGCTGAACAGCGATGGGAAAATGGGATGCTTTTTGCTAATCCTGCAACACCCTTGCCACATGAGATGATGGTAGAGATATTCCTCCAAAGCGTTAACTCCGACGACCTGGCCGGATGTACACCTTCCAGGACATCTCCCCCGTTTACACTTACATGGGTCTGCCGTTATTGGAGAAAACTGGCGATTTCATTGCAGAACCTCTGGACAAACATCTCACTAGGCGATCAAGGTACGGATCCAGCTGATGACGTGCGCCTTCTCGACCTATGGATACAGAGAGCTGGACCGGCAAGGTTAATGCGAATTAGCCTATGCCACGAAATGAAGGACTCAGAGCGACCCGTCTTCTTTGATCCGAATCGTGGGGAACGGTATCTTATTGGAATGAAAATGCTCACAGACAAAGTCCTCTCAATCTCACATCGCTGGCATACGCTTGAACTACATGCTCTAGATTTGTATGTGCTGGACCCTATTCTACGAGCTCTCGTTACCACAGGCGCACCACAACTCGAGACACTTTCTATATCAACAAAGTACTTCGACTTTTTCGGGAGTGTTCATTTCATGGACTTGTCAAGTTGTCCTTCACTGTGTAACCTGCGCTTACTCTGTCCTATGCTGTGCCCAACGGCTAATTCTCATGTGGCGGCAAATATGACAAACCTGGAAATACGCTTCTGTCCACTTATGAGGGACTGTCTTACTTGGCTTTCAATATGCCCAAATCTCGAACGGTTAAATGTTCGTTTCTTCAGAGCAATCTCCTCATCACTACCTCGTGAAAGGAGTCCCCTTACCTTGCTCCAACTGACGCATCTCTCTATCTCATGCTTCTCTGATGATTCTGACCCAAGTCCACTGCTCGATTTGTTAATACTCCCAGCACTTCGCGACCTATCCCTGGACATGAATGGTCTTGTTCATTCGGAACTCAGTCAAACATGGAGTGACCAGATGCACGGCATAATCAGACGATCAAAAGCTCCTCTTGAGCGGCTTACTATGCTAGGCACACCAATGACATCAGATGTTCTCATTCGACTGCTCCACACAACACCTCGTCTTACGGAACTCGTACTCAGCGGTTCCGTTATTTCAGACCAACTGTTAATATCTCTGGCGGTTAATATGAAGTTACCTACAAATGAAGAGATGTTAGGAGGGGGCATAAACGGAGATACCTTAACTTTCTCACTTTGTCCCGGTCTGGAATCACTTGAACTTCGAGAGTTCGAATGCTCACTAGACGTCCTCGTCTCTTTCATATGTGCTCGTTGTCGTGTCCATGTAGGAGCGCGACGGCTACTCTCAATTACCGACGATTCTCCTAGACCAAAAAATCCAGGACATCTGAAAAATCTGACTTTAATCTGGAGCCCACATCCAACACTCCTTGATCATCCCTCAATACGAGAATGTGTGGCGGGAGGCTTGGAAATTATTAACAGATCATACAACGGTGGGAAGCTAAAGTAAAGTAGTCCGCCTGTATCTCTTCGTCATCTTAGTCCTGACATGTTCTACTAGTAAGAAGATCGCCACGCCAGAAACATATGCTGTTGAAGTAGAGTAAGCTGTTTCGACATATCGGACCTGCTAATTCGGACACATATTTGTTTTCTCAACACAACATGCACATTTCCACATGTATCATCATATTGTATTTTTACTAATGGCAGTTCATTTTACAAACGGAGGATCTATCAGGGATAAGTTGACCATTTTAAACTCCACAACCGCAACGGTAAAAAGCCTAGAGGAACATACCGGGCATATGTTGTAGGTATTTCATGCACAATCCAGATGGCAAGTTGGCAACCATCATTAGCATCTCCAACTGGTTAAATGAACAAGCACAACGCAATATCCCCTAGAGGGCATTTGGGTGTGATGCTGTATGTCATCCGGAGGGCTAGTTGCTGCCACGGACACCGTTGAGATTTCCTGACACGATATGTCTTCATGCAACGATGTGTTAAGTGCGTTAAGAACGGGGCATTACATTCGTGATAGATCCGAAAGAGGAAGTCATAGCAACAGAAGAAGATTTAATGACAGAAGAATGCATTCATTACGACTCCTAACTTCTGAGACAAGCGCAAAAGCCCTTTAGAACAATACTGTCGTTGATTGCCGCGTAGTTCTAGTGTCACTGCGGTGGCGAGGAATGTCGAGATGCAATCATGCGGGAAGCAATGATCCCCCTCTGCTTAGATATTAGATGTAATGGTGCAGTGCACGATGTTGTTGATATTTTATCGCTTGTATTGATTGGACTCTCGTAGAAGTTCCGACAAGGGCGTACATCTGACAATGTGCCGTTAGCATATTGAAACAGTGAAAGACCAGTGAAAGACCAATAGGCGATATCGTTACGAGATAAACGCATGCCGGTACCCGACGGTCCACACGTAGATATTGCGCGGCGTCGCCACATATCTGATGCCGGTGTCGTCGTTAGGAAGATATTGTCAGACAGACAGTTATTCTTCGACAAACTCCTACCTGGGTCACAACATGAGAGGCTTCGCAATGGACCGACAGCCGATCTCATCTCATTACCGTCGGTAAAATCATGCTTTGCTGGAATCTTGCTGGTTGCAACTCGGCGGTGCCGACTTTGCCGGCTAGCCATGCGACAGGGTGAGAGAGATATGCTTCCTCCGATTGCGGAGAAAAGGTGTTGGTCTAGACAGCGCGGGAACTAAGCGAGGAAAATGCGGTGCACTTACTCAGGAAGATCTTGATCAGATTCGAGGGAGACCGAGGACACCGAGCTTATGACGGCCCTTAACAAATGCCGTCAGAAATCAGCGGCGCCGAAGATTTGAGCAGCAGAGAATACGGACAAGGTTCAAAGTATAGTGCTCAGAGTATCAGACAAATAGAACAGAGGGACGGGAGGGGATCAGAGGTGTCAATGTTAAGCATGTGAAAACATTGATTTCGTACATTGAGGGGCCTGCTTTGCTATTGCGAACGAACCGAGTCCCCGTCATTCCTACTCTGGAGTGGTATTACATGGACAGACTTGTAAGGACATGTCCGTGTGGTTTACTACGCGGTTCTAGGTTCGTTCAGGCCGTGAGGACTTACGAAATACACCCATCGGCCTCTAGTCATAAGTCACAGGCAAGATTACACCACTTCCGTCCAGGCTGCGTCCATTGGTGGATCAAGGGCCTTGAGAAAGAACGATGACGCAGAGGCGCGAGAGCCAAGTGAGTATCAGATGTACTTTGTACTAACGCAGACAGATTCTCCCATGCGTGAGTGCGAACGATGCGTTTCTTCGATCCTGGGTTCCAAACGTTGAGTCTGCTGCGCACTCTCTCCGTCACTTCGCGCAGATAACAGATAGCAGGAGAGCTTGAAGGCGACGTAGGGTAAACCTCGCGGCGAAACGCAAAAAGCACTCTGATAGGAATCAGCGGAGGAACTTGGTAAGATGCAGCGTACGCAGGAAGAACGAAAGAAGTCCCACTCCACCGCCCAGATTTGCGAAGTCAGTGAAAGAATGGCTGCACTGATAGATGGACGAAGAAGCGCTAACCGAAAAGCAAAGACAGCGCTGATCTCAATGTTTAGGAAGTTTGACTAAACTGGAAAACATCAGCGATTGAGGAACCATGAGCTTAAGAGAATCAATGCATTGGGAGATGGATTCCTCGTGGCTTTGTAGGCAGAGCGTTAGGGGGAACTGAAAATGGGGAAACAGGGTACAGGGTTGAGCGGGCCAGCGGAGGAGGAACGAGCTCGAACTCAGTGTCGAGCTTCTGGAGTACAAGACGTTCCGTAAACCCCAAGCTACATGTGTGCCACCCTGCCTCGTGTTTGTTCAGTGTTTGTTAGCATGTAGACATCTTAATATCACGAAAACCCGAGTCAAAATTCAGTTAGGCAAGGTTACGTTGATGAAGTGGGATACTGCCGAAGAAAATATGTAACACGTACAGAAACACGTTTTGCAATCGTCTGTCCATCCAAAGCTGCACGTAGGCCGCAAGTGTTCCATTCCTTCGCAACGCCCTGGTGCCTCAAGGTTCATTACTCCTCACAGTCATTACGACGCTAATCCGCATATGTGCATTGACATGAGAGCGGACTTAACGGAGCCAATGTGCAAGGGAACGAGACGCGAGTGATAACTTGGTTAAAGAGAATTTAGCCGAGTTTCTTCGCTCTGTGTCCTCTACGAATAATTCGTAGAGGATGTGCATTTTTTGTGGCAATAGCCCCCTCAACTTGTTCGCAATTAGGCCAGCGAATGAAACACTTTCTTTTGAGTCCTCAAGGCTAAAAATCCGTAAGCTTTACAGTCAGGGGCTGAGCGCCTAGCTCCGGGTATGTGCGACTCAACCTTCCTCTAACGGGAGTTGCAGCGTCATAATGACTCGGGAAGTTAAAAGGGTGAACTGCATCCCTTCAATGGCCCTTTCCCATAAATCGAATGTCTATACAGAAACAGTCAGTTTGGACACGACCTTGTGAATTATCGGAGATATTGAAGACTTAATGGACCGTGCTACGTGAGCTCGCTCTTTTGTCTCCACAATTCTCCGAATGTCGAGGAGACCTACCTACACAAAATGGTAGAGTCAATTCCTACTCCGGGTTATTAAAACCGGGCGGTACTTACGAAGCGGCGTTCCTCAACATCTGCTAGCTACCACAGGATTCGTCACACTCCCGGTAGGAGTGAGAATGCAATCGGCAGTCGGGGCTGCAGCGGACACCGGATGCAAAGTCCGGAAAACCGTCTCGTCCCTTATGCCAGATGTTCAGATGGGCGTGGAAGAATGCAGCCGGGTGTATCACGTCTGTACGGTCGACTGACAGAAGGGCGCGGATCCTCCTTTCCTCCGGGGAAATGATTACAACCGACATCTTGTTTGAAAGCACTTGCGGACGGAGCGCCATTTGTGACAATGAGTGCCGCTCTGGCAAGAAAGCACATAGTTTTTAACCTTCCAGTTAAGTCAGAAATTTCAGCTTGTCACCACAAAATGATTACATTCTCCCGAATACTTAGCGCATCGCGCCAGTTGTCTAGTTCCGGGAAAACGTCGTTCAACGGCGACTGCGCACGAGTCTGCATCCAGCCCGTGCGAAGCACATGTAAGAACACTGAACCTCCGCAGCGTGCCGTCTGGTAAGCGCACGCGCCACTTTCTTCTCTATCGTCGTCTTCCGCCTTCCGATCCGCCGAGGTACGTACACCAGTGCGGGCCTATCAGCTCTCAACTTGCATCTGTCTTCTGTCTTCTGAGCCGGCCAGATCGAGGGCGCCGAATATAGCTGCCTCGCGTGAACTCTGAAGAGTCTGATGCTTTTAGTTCCGGAACCATTCACTTCAGTTCTGAATAAAGTAGATTCGACTCAGTTGCCCTGACTTTCGACACAGAACAATTACTCCAAGGCACGCACGCGGGAACCGGGTTTAGCCTAGGACATGGCATGGTGAGGTGTCGGTTTCCTATACATTTCGGTAGCTTGTGGAATATGTCAGCTTAATTGATGGATAAGGGAAGACCCTTGTTGATATGAGACTCACTCATTTCTACTAAATTTTCACGGATGGGATCCACTTGAATCATAATCACCTTGTATAGCGTCGAAACAGTGGACGTGAAAGCAGGTCCATCAAAGAACTGGAGAAGTTCAACCTTTCGCCAGCGTTACTGCGTGCTGCTTCTTGGGCGGCGATGCTATTGACCATCTCTATGTTTCACTGATAGTTTTGATGCAATTTTCGGCGTCGGAACACAAGTGAACCTACGAAAAAGGCAAAAAAGAAAGAAAAAAGGTTGACAAGACCTTTGTGGGTTCCTGAGCGTGGAATTGTAGGCCGCTTCAGGGACAGTTATTTGATCTTCTTCATCACCTCCGTCTATAAAACTTCACAGACAGTTGCTACCAGAAGAAAGCTACCGAGGATGGGTGCTGCGTCCACTCGAGGTACCAGCTTGTTCTAGAAATGATAAAAAGCTATCGCCATCACTTCTTCTGCCGGCGTTTCCGGAAAACAACTTCAAAGAAAAGCCGGACCCTGGTATCGTTGAGTGATCTAGAGCTAAAGGGACATCTGTGGTGAAAAGTTGCTGGCCACAGAAATGCCGATTGAATACAACGAATCATTAAAAAAAATGTTGCTTCTGTATACTTACCTCATAACTTTGGTCTGAAACACCGAGATTGATAAGCACAATTAATCAACAAACATCCGTTACGGAAGCAAATAGCCCGAGTCGGCGCCTGCTAGTAGGACATGATTCGCGCAAGACACTCCATGAACGTGATGGGAGCTTCCCTTAGCGCTTGTGAAAGGGGCTGCAGCTAGTCCTGATCCCTGGTGTTGCAAAGGTCTCCGCAGATCACGTTCCATAGCGAAGACGAAGTGCTAGTGCAAGATCGCACACAAATGTACGCGGAAGCAATCCAACTTGTTCTTCATCGGCGACTGCATATGCCGTTTCTCGGCAACAGCTTCTACTTCCATCGCCCCCATACATCGTCCGGCCGCCCTTTTAATTTCTAGGGGCATCTTCGCAATGTGCACCCCCTTTCTTCTCGATTTGCGAATACGCGACACATACTTCCATCTTTTCCCACGGTCGACTTCTTCATATTGAGCAGTTAGTGTTACAAACGTACTGCGTGCTCTTCGACAGTATGCGATGAACGGAGGATACGAGCGGAGGGAAAATTTTCTTCTGAAATGAATCCGGAATGGCTCCAACTTCACCGGATAAATAGAAATGAAAAAGCGACACACGAGATGCGCGAAAGAAAAATGGTATTGAAGAAAGTCTTCCCTCGGTAGTCGCGTGAAAACAAGCAGACATCCTGCCGGATACAACGCACTTGATAGCCCAGTGATGTATGCATTTCAAAAGGTGTCCGTCACAGTCTTGGATCAAGTGCCGACAGGGTGCACAGATAGGAGGCAGTATAGCGCAACCATGACACACGATGAAATGGAACCTACCTCAGCCTATCTCTCTCAAAACCAGGCGAGGTAGAATTTTCCCACGACTTCTGGCGGACGTCGGTTAAACACAGTAATAGAGATTTGGAAATTACCAGTTGGTAGGTGTGTTCTTCACGTCTGGAGAGACCAGGGCATTGGCGAAATTTGACGCAGTAGATCTTTCTACGTGTCCTTCATTGTAATGAAATCTGACTTGGTAAAAGATACTTTCAGGTCAGCCCTTTTTGCTTTTAATTATCTCGTTGGTGCGGCGCCTTTGCTGCTTCTTTGTGGTCACTCTGTTGCGCCAATACGGGGAAAGCCGATGAGATGTGCTCAGAGGACGAGCGCCAATTTTGCGGAGCCTCGATGTCGAGTCAGACTTGAGAATGTACTTTTCGGGTCGAGGTGAGTGGCCGTTGACGCCAAAAGGACTGCCTTGTACGCAGGGGAGTGGATTGCGATATAGGCCGCAGTACATGCCATCGGGAGAGAGACGCCCTTATTCGAGTCGACCGACGTAGCATTGGCGCTCGTACAGGGGGCTTGCGTAGTCTGTAATGTGCAAGACAAGCTGCGGACACGTACATGTTTTAATATTGATTTTTCAGGGCAGACTCAGAGACTAAGCGCAGGAACATTGACATCATCATGCTTGTGATTGCAGTGTAAGGGTATCGAGGGATTAGTTGATGAGAAGATATCTCAATGGAAGAAATATCTCGCCAGGTGCAATTATTGGACGGTCTAGAGCAAGAAAAGAACAAGCAGTAACTGCCTTCCTATCATATACACACTCTAATAGGCTCCGAGAGTCCTCGACGCTTCCAATTCTTCAATCTGTGTGAAGAGCGGAGGTAAAGAAAGTAGGGTAAGGATTTAGCTGAACAGCGAACACAGTGTATACTCACCCTCCCGCGGGACAGCACTTGTGAATGTGGGTAAAAATGCGCCCTTCAAGCCCGAGAGAAGCCAAGAGAGAAGATTCATGATTGTTTGTGCGTCTTCGAATTTCAAAGTCGCTGCGGAGGCTTTTTAGAGTCGATGGCCACTGGCGTGAAGACAGAGAGATGTGCCTTCTCGAGCGTAGCAAATGATCACGAGAGCATCTCATGCAGGGCGTCATGTAGTGGCATCTGTGCAGTAAGTGGAGTGAAAGGGTCTTGGAATCTAGTTGGAATGCCGACCTTTACTTCTTAGGCAAGTTCAAGAGTTCATTTTTCTGTATGCGCAGGACAGCTGAAGAATGTGGGCACTTTAAGGAGGCGAGAGTTACGTTAGGACGTTGTATTTCACAACTACGCAGTCTACGACCCCGTTTTCTCTTCCAGACCATCGAATTACAGACAGATCTGTGTGGACGATGAAGAAGTCATATTCTCGAGAAGCAGAGACAGAAAGAAGGATGAAAACAACGTCTTCCAAAAATGGTTACTTCCGGCTCACTTATCGGCCCATGTCATCCTCCAGGTTCCGAATCCGAATTCGCGTCCCTTTCTTCCTCTCTTCTCTTTACTCTTCTTGACTTCTGAATTCAGATGTCTGCTGACAAATATCTTTACAATTCGTTGCATTGACTCTTGTCAACACATTACAATCCTATAGTTTTAGTAGTAGTGGTTGCGTTTAATAACTACCAACGCATATGTGATAGATTGGTGAGGATGTGGTTCGAATGAATTCGAATTTATCTAAAATAAGACGTCCTTCCTCCCTTATCTCGTGCACATGGTTGATCTAAGCGAGAGAAGTCAAGATGCCGAAGGAAGTATGTGCTGACAAGCAGTGTTGATAAAATCATAAACTTGACATGTTTCAAAGCTTGATAGAGTGATATTGACATATAATACACAACGTAAAATGTGATATAGTAAGAGTAAGCTTAAGTAGAGTGATGATGATGATACAGTAGTACGCGTACGTTATCAAAAATTAAAATTAGGTTAGAAACTCGGTAAGATTTCGCCTATCGAGTGGTTGAAAAGCGTAACGTGGAAAAATACACAGGAGATGCTTGTCTACTGTACAGCCTACCAGATCTGGGCGCATCTTCCAGATCTTCTCTCCCGGCCTCACGTGACACGCCATATGCTTGGGTACATTCGTTCTACAACGCTCAGGGTGGGATAGAACATAGGAATATAGGAGGGAGGGACACGGACACCATCAGATTCATAGATTCATGTCGAGACCAACCCCGGATGAAATCTTTTCTGTTTTCCGTCTTTGATGTTTCAATAGTTTTTGGTTGGAACGCTACGCGTGCTACGAAGCGCTTCTGATTCCTCCTGCCTAAGTAAGTGTTTTCTCTCGTTTCTTCTTTTGTTGATGTTCTTTCCGCGTTTGTCTATACCACATTTCTCCCCTCAGACTTCTTTTCAGGGACAGAGGCAGCACAGCACGCGGGTTATTCTTCGAATTGTATTACATTAGATATTGAAAGTACATATGCCTATACATGGTGTTTTCATGATACCGTATATGTCCTGGAAAAAACTAACGCTGCGCGGTCTACAGGCGGAGTGACCGAGGACACTAGCAGCGCACAGTACTGGGAGCTAATCTTCCAGAGCGAGACGGAAAGACCTACCTGGAAGCGTTTGAGCCTGAAAAAAATGCCGTCAGCGTCACACTAAACAGCAAGATCCAGTCCATTCCATTCCATACTACAACTCAGCCAATCCACCTCGTGGACAAGAGGAACGCCGTAAGCACTGATGCGCGCGCTGCCCGATCGTTCAATCGTCCAATCAATCCACGCATCGTCACGCATGTACACATGCAAGCCAGGTAAGAAAGAGCATCCCGCACGCCCGCATGCCCGTGCGCCCCGGCACGCAGAACCAACCTAACGTACCGTATACGGAAAACAGACGCGAGAGAATAAAAGAAACCGACCGGCAAAATAGTTCAAGCGTGGGAGATACGGAAAGCACGGGTTAGACGGAGCAGCATACACTACTCTATCCGTCCGTTCGTCCGATAATCCGTCCAGTCCGTTCATTCGTCCCTTGTACATATACACATACGCTCATCTGCACGCGCGTGTATCGCTTCAGTGACGCCATTGATTACGGGATGCCCTTCCTTCCTTCCTTCCACGCACGCGCCGAGTCTAGAAGTCCCGTCTGCATATCCACTCGTCCACGCAGAAGGGAGGGAGGAATGGCCAGGAACACAGAAGCACGAGAGGATGCTTGGGTAATTGATACTAGCTGAGTAAGACGAAGCACCAGAGAGGGAGGAGTTAATTTAACCTGGTTTGTCTACTGCGATACCGTGAAGTCGCTTGCCGCCCGCTAGTCTGGATGCAATGCACGCTGGAACAATATATTATATGTACGCATGCTTTTTGTTTGTGTGAATCGTTATCGTCATCGGGCCGTCACGGGCGTATATGCTGTACGTACGCGGAGCATGATGTCGAGAGAGCCATTCAAAAGAAATGTACAGCTTTATGTGCCACAAGACTTCTAAAGTCTCAAACATCCAGAGTTTTGATCCTAAGACGCTCCAAGGCTCCAAGAGACTCCAAGAGTGTATAAGGTGAGAGAGGACGGGAGAATGAGTAATCAGTTCACTGGACGCCGTGTGCCAAGAGCTTCGCCCGTTATATTGATATGAGTATCACGGTAGCAAGTAACCGCGTGTTATAAGGAATGGAATAGCAGACGGTGGATAGGTAAACAGATGCCGACGCGTGTCGCGCATGGACATGGGCGCGAGAGAGGGGCGCGTGAGAGTACGCTTGAGGGCGGGCATTGAGTGGCCTAGGGAGAAGACAGGAAGGCAGGGAAAAAGGAAAAACAGCCGAGTATTGTCTTTGGACAAAGGGCGAGAAAGCTACAGAGATGTCGAATCACACAAATGCGAAACTTCACGACGGGCGGTTGGCGGGAGAATTGGGGGAGGGGGCGGGGAGGATACAAGATACCGAGATGCCAGGATACAAGGCGCGCCGTAAGGAGAATGAGAGTGGTAGTCGGGGGTCGTGGGTGAATCTGTGAGCTTACTCAGCTGACGGAAGCGGGTTGGGGCGCGAGAAAGTGGGTATATGCTTGCTTGGAGATCTGCACAGCGGCGTTGGTCACTCAGTGTACACACAGAGGATGTCTCTCTCGTCTGATTCGAGGAGCGAAAGGGAGAAGACCGCGGAGTTGGCGGAGAGGAAAGAAGAGATGCATATGCGAGTGGGCTAGGGACGTCATGCGATTGCATATTGCATTCCATGGTGTCGTTGCGTTGGATTCAGTTTGGCCGATCGGCGCTGGTGCGATGCCGGGCAGGGGGTCAGTAATCGAGCGAGAATCAGGTATCAAAACGTTAGGGATCATAGAAACAGCGGAGCAGGGGGGCAGTGGAGGGATGGAAGCCCTTGTGTGTATGAGTGTGTGTGTAATGCATCAGCGCCTGTGTACGTGAGAGTGAAGAGAGGAGCCTGATAATGGGAGAGGGTGATGATTGGGTGGGTTAGTTGCGCCGGTAGCATAAAGTAGAATGTGATGGAGAGGAGAGACCCTTTGGCGACGAACGGTTCAGGCGGCGCGGTGCGGTGCGGGGAGGGGTACGAGAGTGCGATGGATGGACGTTGCCTGCATGAGAGGGGCAATGCTGCGGAGAGCAAGTTTAGGTTTGTCAGGAGCAGATGGAAGAAGATGCGGAGGCAAATTGGATTCGGGCAATCGAGATTACGGACGCAGTGACAGCACAGGATGGAGTGACTAGTTGGTAGATCGGTAGATACTGAGATACTAGTACTGCTTGGACAGGATCGAATTAATATTGTGCATATGTACATGTAGTGCAGTTGTGTCCGGGACAAGCACAACGGAGATAGGGACGACGGAGACTAAAGCGCGACAGGATCCGGAGAGCGAGAAAACGGAATGCGCGAGCTGAGACGGCGGCGTGCGAGCCAAATAGAGCTAACCGTGTCTCCACGCTCACGTACGTACATCTGAATCGCAGCACTACCATCGCGGGGCGAGTGCATTCCGTGTGTTGACCTTGTAAATTCACGCAGCGAGAGGCCGACTGAGGATGTGGGCGCTCTCGGTGGCGCGGGGCACTGAACCTACGCGTCGGGGGACGGTACGCACCGTCGTGGAATTGCGCGCACACACGATGCGGTTGCAAAGGCAGCTTGGCGCGACAGCGCGTTGTTGTGTACAGACGGGGGGTGTGGCAAAGCAGCCACAGTGAGTATTTGTGCGTGTTTGTTGTGCGCTGTGCCGAGGGGGGGATGTGAGATGCCGAGGACACAAAATAAAGGAAAATAAAGCTGGCAGTGGTGTATAGATAATTGTACGCTTTCGATACGCTCAGTTCGCTCATCCACTCTCCCGCCCCCGTTCCATCCTTCCGCTTTCCTCTCTCAACATCTCTTGCTTTCTTCCCGCCATCTCTCCCCTCTCTCTCACGACCAGCTTCCACCGCACACTCTGCCATCGCAAGAACAACTCCTTCAATATTCGCTGCCGTGTCCAGCACAACCCGCTGCTCTACTACTGCATAACTGCATTTCATTGACCACGTCCGAAGACGCGCGCCATGGGTCGCCGCAAGATCGAAATCACCCCAATAACGGTGCGCGCATCTCCTTGTCCCTCTTCATCCGCTAGCCTATTTCCATCGTCCCGTCTCTCTCTCCCCCGTGCTATTTTCTCGCGCAATTCAGTTCGCCATGCTGACTCTATTTTCTCTCTTTCTCTCGCGGGCGCCGGTAGCACGAGCGCAACCGTTCAGTAACTTTTCTCAAGGCGAGTTGTGTTCTTAGTTTTGCTAATGCGCACTTGTGCGATGCGTTGTGCGGGAGCTGCAGTGCTAGTGTGACACATTGACCGAGTGGCCCCGCTGCGCTGCTGTGCGCTCGCTATAATTATTTCGACGGAGGCTAACGCCTATTTATTTTTATATCTCCTTCGCTGTCGGCTGTCCACTGTCGGTAACCACTCTGTGTGCTGTGCTGCGCTGTCTGTCTGTTGCATGTTCTTGGTTGGCGCGTCGAAATTTGCCATGGCGTGCAGCGGAAGAACGGGCTGTTCAAGAAGGCATATGAGCTGGGAGTGTTGTGTTCTGTGGACGTAGCAGTGATCATCTTCGGTGCGTTCGAGGCCGTTCTGTCGCGCATCTTGCGTCCCTGTTCTCACACAGCTGCCTGCTCTATTTTTGGAACACTACCTTCCTGCTCGATGTCAACGGCGGCATGTCGATTCCCTTCTTCGTCTGACGCGCCCTGACCGCCCCGGGGGCAACTCCCGATGCCGATGGCCGATGACGCCAATGATGACGACGCCGCTGCAGAGGAACGGGCCGGCCACCATGTGAAACTGCACGAGTACTGCTCGACCGACGTCGACAACATGGTCCAACGACACATCCATGTGCGTACATGTCTTTCATATTTCCTTATTTCCTTTTCTTTGCTATGTGCCCCGCCCGCTGTTCACCGCAGCCAGCCCCTTTCTCTGAGTCTTCACGCCAGCCATTGACTCGTTATTTTTATTCCTATTTCTTTTTACATTTTATTTTGTTTACCTTGTGTGACTGCTTGCTGACACTCGCCCGCTCTTCTCGCGCTCTCCCTTGTGGACTTACTGACTGTGGCCCCCCAAACGAACTGTGTAATGTGTGATGTGATGCAATGCCGCCCATGGACGCGTCGACCCCCGTATGTCCGATGATCGCTCCCAATGCACCACTCTCTCATATCGCCCCCCGCGCTAAATTGCGGTCACCGCGGTCTATCTATCCATCCTCTCTCGCTACCGTTCTTCTGCTCCTGCCTCCCGCACCCGGCCGCACGTCTCGCCTGCACTGTGTTTCACTACACGGCCTTCGCGGGCTTCCTTGGTCCCTCACGACGCCCGCACGCGTCCGCTCGCACATCCTGTTACCATCCCCTCCATGGTCTGTCCGATCGGCGCGCTCCCTGTCCCCCCTATCCGTACATCACGCGTCCGGTTCGGTCGTCCTATATTGCCGTACTGTTCCGGCATGGCTTTTTCTCACTAGTTTGACGGAGAACGAGAATCTAAGCATCCGGCCGACTTTAGCAAGCAACCAGACGACGGCGCTCACGATGACGACGACGATGATGATGAAGGGCCGAGGCCCTCAGGCTCTGGAGGCGCTTCTTCAGCCAGACGGCCCAGTGGATCTTCCGGAGGGACTATGGGAGGCAATGCGGGTATGAGCGGAAGAAGTGGGGGCGGCATGAGTATGAGTGGTAGGGGTGCACCCGGCATAGGAGGTATGGGTAGCGGAGGAAGGGTGGCCGGCGGCATGAACATGGGTCTTGACGTGAGTATCATTCGGTTTGCATTTCCTACTGTCATTGGTGTTGGTACTGCCAGCACACGGAAGCCAATTACTCATTTCCCGATTTTCTGTCTAATTAGATCGACTATCGACCGTCATCGCTCAGTTTGCCCCCTCATATCTCCTCATCATTTCCCAGTCACTCCTTGCCGGCGCATTCCTTCCCGTCTCACAGTACACACGGGCTCTCACACCTGTCTGCACCGTCATTTCCTTCTCACACACAACACCCGTCGCTCTCCGCACATCTCTCGACTCAGCCGCAATCGCAACATTCGTACTCACAGTCGCCCACAAGTGCGTACCCAGGACCGGGGTCCGCAATCCCAGTCAGTCTTGAGCGCCACAGCCCTTTCAACTTTAGTCTCCCTCAGACAAAACGGCCGAGGCTTGATTCATCAGCATCTTCCGGCGGAGGCACGTATCCAGGTGGTCCGTCGGCGTATACAATTGACGATCCAGGTGCACATGCAGCATACTTGCAGAATCAAAACCAGAACCAGGGACATGCACAATCAGGTACGTCATGATCGCAGTTTGATTTGCTCATTGGGCTCTCAACGCCTTCACCGTCCCCTACAGGCGGCGGAGGCAATAACGCAAGGTCCTTTTATGGGCAACAGACCCATGGGCAAGCAAGCCCGCCACCCTCAAATGCGTCATCTACACCTTCGAATGCGAACTCTAATCTATTTTCCGGGTTATTAGGTACAGGCGGTGGCGGAAGTCCGACAGCTACCTCTCCGCACCATTCTCACCCACCGCGTGGTGGGAGCGGGACTGGATTAGATTTGGAATGGCCGGTGCACAGTTCCTCACAGGCACAAAGTCAGCAAATCCAGTCGCGACCTAGCGCTGGACAGGGAGGATCGGATACCGCTTGGCTGGATTTTTTCTCTAGCGCCCCCGCTTCTGGGTCAGTACCCAGGGCGGGGGCGGCCGCATCCTCGTCTTCAAACATTAACTCGGGCACGAGTAATGCGAGTTCAGCGGCCGGATCGTCATCGACGGCTGCAGGCTCGTCTTCGACAGCGACGCTTTCAACCAATGCATCGACTCTTGGAAAACGGACGCGCTCAGACTCATATCTAGGCGGTGGTGTCGACGAGGAAGACGGACCTGGACAACGGGTAAAGGAGGAGGATCCAAGTGACAGCGGGGCGGGTGCTGCAGGTGGTATGGGCCCACGACACTCAGTGAGCGGCGGCGGATCAGAGCTGGATATCTTCGGTGCAGGCGCCTCATCTGTCAGAGAGAGTAAAACTTCGGATGTACGGAGTGGAGGAGCAGGCGATGTGAGTTATTCTGTATAACCCAGGGAGGGACTGGGCAGGAATGGAGAGAATAAACTAACGTTGAACCTTGTGCTCCTGATGTAGAATCGGTCTTCGCAACGTCCAATCGATGTGAGCTGGTTTCCATAGCCTCTGCGCCGTTCCAGCCTTATTCACTACATGAGGCCTTCGATTAGACACACTGCCGCCCAAACGGCTTCATCACGGCATTAACTACCGCCTATTCTAAACCGGCTTCACTCGGATGGCTCTAAGCATCCTGCCCGAGTATTCCGACGGGGAGTTCGGCTTGCCTTACTCTTTGCCTTGCACCATTGTACCATTCTGCCATCTCATCTGCAACCATGATTACGATTTCGACTAGGACTGCCTTATTCTGACTCTGACGTCATCAGATATATAATGATAAATAAAACCCTGCATACCCGCCTTTCTCCACTTCTTTTCTCCGAGAATCCAGTATTCCGACTATCCGTTGAAAGTCCTACCATGGTTTCCCCAAGCCTCCTAGTACTTAGTCCATGAACCAATGTGGTTCCGTTCTTGCTTTCATCCGCTCTCGAACTGCTGTTCCTTTCTTATCCCTTATCCCATATCCTTCATCCGATTATTATCGCGCACTCATATACGTATATACATGCATAGATCATTTCACTTAGCCCTTTCCTTCCTTTTTTTTTTTCCAGTACGAGGTTCTATCGACCGGACTATGCTTTTTCTCCTAGCCTTTCCGTCATTTTCTTGTTTGTTTGCTTGCTTACTTGATTGATTCCTTGATGAAAACGTCCACTAGTTATGGTGCTTCTGTGTGTTCTCTTCTCGTGTATGATTTCTTTCTGCTTGCTGGTTCTGCTTTCACATTTGTTGACTAGTTTATAACCCCTAGCTTCTCTTCTTGATGAGCTGATTGCTTGTGCATCTTCTTTGCTTTGCTTTTGCCCTGTTCTGATGATTCCTTGATTTTTAGCTTTTCTTTTTTACGTATGTTCTTTGATTGCAGTGAATTTTGTACGAGAAAGAGAGATTGAGAGCAATGCTATTGAATTGAAAATGGTTTTTTTCTTGACAGTCCGCTCTGAGTTATGTGTTGAGCCAACAAAACACGATAGCCTTCCTTCCTATTCCCCAAAAATATCATTGTGTACGATAAAAATAATTAAGCTCACAATCAGATCTGATACTTGACACAACACTTAACTTAGAAGAAAAAACAATTCAGTCGACCTATCTCTCCTCATCTATTAATACCATCGACACACACGCACGAATCTGAAACACAAGAGTTATTAACAACCGAGTCGTGCATACCAATAATAAAAGTATATAATTATAAATAATAAACTTGGAGCGGTGCTTTATTTGTACTAGCGTGAATGAGTATATCGGGGGTGGCATGGTAGCATGGCATACACATGGTAGAGGTAAATCTTTTTTATCTGGGTCGGCCCTGGGTATTTGGCGCTGTTTGGTGTTGTTGTGAATCGATGGTTTCTCCCTCTCAATACATTTTTTGATGTCTAATCTAATACACGGACCTGCATTCTATTTCTCAAGAAGATCTGTTACATTCTCGTATATATGTGAGTCATTTTGTCTGCTGTGCTTATGAAAGCTTTGATTAGTTAATTTTTTTATTGTAATTATTGTAGAATTAACAGGTTACTTACTGGCCTAGATTGTCTTCGGGAGTTCGCCTAAAACCCTAATGACCTCGTCCTTCAACATCTGCTTGTCTATTGAGCGACTTCTGCCACAGCTTGAGCAAGATATGTTCCAAGCTGGTTTTAAGTCGTCCTTGTCCCAAAACTTCTGGAGTCTAATTGATGAGCCATTGGGCAAACGTTCCATTTCCTGAAGAATGTACAGCTGTAGTATTGCCAAGGAGGATGGTTTGAATACAGCCTGTAAGTCTCTGCAAGACCCGCAATAAGAACCTTTTTGCGGCATTACTACATCCCATTGGATTGAGTGAGAGCCTGGTGCTTGAGTCATATTAAAGGACTCGAATAGGATGTCCCTTCGTGATTTATGCAGCTGCACAAGCTTCAGCACGCCACTAGATGGAACGCTTTGGAGAAGAGAGATAGATTCGGGAATGTAGAGGCTTTGAGAGAGCGTGGCCGTTGAGATGAGTCGTTGCTCGTCCTCCCATCCATATCGCGATGCGAGAGCAAAGGCAGATAGTGGACAATGATTGTCGATCATTGAACGTAAATGACGTCGTGAACTGTCCAGTACGACCGGCATGTCATATTTCTCCGCTGCCATGCAGGCTTCCTTGAGAAAGTCGATCGAAACGTCGTTCGAAAGATCCAGCTTGTTCGGGTAGATGATGTCCAATAGCGTCTTGACAATCTTGCCGTTCTCCTGTATCTGAATAGGTTCATGCGATGCTTTCTCTGGCCCCGCTTCTATCATCGTCTTGAACATACTCGAGGCGAGTTTTACTATGAGAGTGTGTACGCGGAATCCTTGACGATCAGTCGAGAGAAGAACTAGGTCCGCTTCCTCTTCGTTATAATCTGGATGAAAAGTGATGCTGTCCTTTGGATAGTCGCCCTTTTCGGTGTCATCAGACATCTGGATTGCTTCGAAGTCGCATTAGGACGCGAAAGCACCTATAAGTATAAAGCAAAGTCTCGCACAGTGATGAGACGTCTTTGTCCTCAGCGATGTGTACTAATAATAACGAGGGAGAGTTGTATATAAACTAAAGTTCAGTAATGGATTTGTTTTGAGATTTGGTTTAGGAGGTATTATGCAGACTGACTCGTCTTAGCTCTAGGCGTGTATGGGTAGATGGTGGTTGCTTGACGAGCAGCATGCATACCGGAGGCCGCATGGTAACATCGCCTCTTAGTCGTGGTTCGGGCGCTTAACTGAGCGTGCAATTTCCTTATAAGACGTCGAACCTTATATCGTAGGACTATACCTTGCACACCAGGGTTACATGCTGAAAGACGTATCTCACCCGCCCAACCTGTCTGAGAGTAATCAGGATTCCAGCTAAAAAGACACACGAGAGCTATAGCTTTTGATACAAATGCACGGAAAACAGACTGCTACGCGACTGATGAAAAACGATATTCAGCTCGCGTGACCATAGGTAAGGACTAATACAGATGTTTCTTTCATTGGTTCCGGGGTCATTGATTCTAGGGAAGTGTCCGTCAACCTTTGTAACATGACAAGTAGTGGACACTGCACTCACTGAGTCACTATTATTTGTTCTTCGCTATTTCACAGATTTAGGGATTCGATCGATGAGATCATTGATTGCATCGTGCAATGCATCCGGAGTGAATATCGAGCCTAGACACGAAGGACACGTTTGGCCCAACTTTCGGACGTCATCGACGACGGGACGGGACCAAAACCTGTGTTCTTTGAGTCCTTTTCCCGAAGGCCGAATCTCTAGCTCCTCGGAAATTAGAAATTTAAATGCCATCCAAACAGGGTCATTTGCGAACGAGCTCCATTTGTTGCACTGATTGCCAGTGGGTGTCTCTGTCCCGTCTCCAGAGTCAACTGTGCAAATCGAAAGCCAATCGATCTGTGTGTCGGTATATTCGGAGTGTCGCTTGTCACCGTCCACAAGCATCGCATCTAGGACAATACGCCGCCGGGATGCACGTAGCTGAATCAAGTCTAGAGCATTCTGTGGACCGATCGACTGCAACTGGCTCTGTACGTCGGGGAGCCGGAAATCGAGATCAAGTGTAAGTGTCGAAGCGAATTCCGCTTCCTCATTCCAAGAGAACGACCGGGCAAGGCCGAATATCAAGATCGGGGATATTGAGAAACGAGTATCGAAAATGAAAGAGCGGATAGCGGTAACGCCTGCTGGTACATCGTACTTCTCGACAAAGACGAAAGCGAGATCGCGTAGAAAATCGAAAGATGTGATGTCTGTGATCGTCAAGCTGCGATTGGGATAACTAACGTCGAGAAGGGCTTTGACGACTTCCTGACGTTCATCCATCGGTATAGGCTCGCCAGCTCCTTCAAATGGGTCTCGTTTCATGCCGAACATTCCCCGGAAGAAGGCAGACGCGAGTTTCAGAATGATAGAGTGGGTTTGGAATCGAACACCATCTTTAGATAGCAGGATTAGATCCGCGTCAGCAAATGAGTATGACGGGTGTATGCGAGAGTCACTTGTAGGAGTTGACATTAGTTAAATGCTTGTTTCAGGAATCGTGGGGTTGGTAGTCGACAGTACCTGCAGGTCTAGCAATCAATGGAGATGGAAGACGCGCTTGACCGTGGCTAATTTGAAATTCATTTGGGCGTCTATGTCCTGGAAAAATGCGACTTCAAGGATGCATGTGCTTTTCTCATCCGGGGCCATATTAATGGACTTCAAGAAATACACCACGCTGTCGTTCGCTTAATGCAAGCCGTGGAATGGGAAATAGAAGTCGGCCTCTCTGAGTCGTACTTTTTTTAAATGAGTTCTTCCTCAATTTCCGGCACGTGACAACTCGGGAAATGCCGTTTGCGAAGAATTTTTTGCTGCGTGAGTATTTTCTATTGGTCATATATCAGGTATGTAACGGATTGAACATGATACAGAGCGAGTGAGCTGATATTATCTGTGTGTTAAGAGGAATAGGAACTGCAAAGTCCGATTGTATTTATTGTCTCCGATAAACATACAAATTGACAATGATACAAAGAGCGACGACATCATTACGATCGACCCGGAAATTCTAAAATTGGTGCAAACGTTACGATAATTCGACTATTGCCAACTGCTACGCCTTCCCCTGCCTTGCTCTTCCTACAGCACTTCTGGTGCATCTTGTAAGACGATGAGGGTTCAAGGCACGTGCAGACAAAAATATCCTCTATAATGTTCCCGCTAAGTCCGAGTATCGTAATGTAATGTCAGGGTCCCACCCGGCAAAGGCTCGGCGAGGGGAGTCAGGGTTGCATTTGCCCACGTATGGCGTACTACCCTCACTGTTTCCACATCTTTTCGCATGGACATGTTACATCCTTTGCGTTTGGTATTGCTCTGACCCAGAAGAGAAGAAGTAATCCTGAATGGACACGCTCAAGCAATCCAGCTCAAATAAGGTATGGAACACAGTATAGTCAGGCTATGATTCTCTTCCTATGTCGTTGTAGGTTTTGCGCATGGCACGAAATTCTCCATCCATCGACGATCGTCAAAACGCCGGTCGAGTCGAGTCGAACTGTGTCATAATGTTCCCTCAACGATATTCGTAGCAAATTCCTTCCCGCAAACGGTTTTCTTTGCTGTTGTAAGTGACTTATTCGGACATCGCATCTTCCTTTCCCTATTGCCATCCCTTTCTCTTTTCGGAGACAATCTTATTCCTGACTATTCTCAGCAGCGACGACAAATAAGCTGGTCTGGCTCCTTATTCTCCGGCCGACGCAAGCCAAATTTGCCCAAGCCTGTGAGACTTTGTTTCAGAATCTTGCAAAATCGAGATATCTGTGGCAGGGATTCATGCAGTGCAGCTTTGAGATTAAAAGGTAGACCGACCATCGACCAGTGAAATGTGTATGCTTGGAACTCCGCAGCTCACTGGATCTACAACTGCCCAAGTCGTGACTCGTCATCTTACATTACATCCGTCCAGCGGGATTTGGTGAAGTTGATCAGCGGCGTCCTCGCGCTGTGAGCCACCCCATTTTTCATCTGTCACCTCGGTATATCTCAGTCCGGTCTTCGTCCGTGCTTCGTCGCACAAACGCTGTGCCGATTGTGCGGAACGAAGGGGCAGGGTCTTGCATCTTGCCCCTGTCTACTCCATCAATGGACGCCCCTTCCTTGATTAATGTGGGAAATAGCCTCGGTCGTCAATTCGAAGTTCCTTCGCGTGAGATGCGCGAATTCGTCTAACCGCTTGTTATCTACGCGAATGGACGGGGCAGAATAGCAGCTATGGGCAAATGACAGTTCAACATTCCGGAACTCTGATCGCTTCACGTCCTTTCATGGGAGAATAACGCGCCTGGGCGTGGACACTTTCCCGTACACATCGCTGCATCCCCTACAGCTCCTAACCATAATGCTAATGAAGCCATACTGATACATCAGTTCCTGACGGCGCTACGCATTGAATCCTTCCACTCTGAACTTCCGTTAGTTCGTTCAGAACAAGCACCGAGAACCACGAGAGATTCTGTCGAACAATGCAATCCTCCACAAGCAACGTTTCCCTGCAGGGGAAGCTCCGTTCTGCACTTAATTAAGGTACTTTAGCCATTCTAGTTCTCTGGATCAAATGCGCCACTGTTGAGGCTTTCCCTCGTCCCCGGGTGTAGACAGGCTAGATTCGTCCACTTCCTTGCGATTTATGCCCACAAGACCGACAGCTCATTCTCGATCCTCGTCTCCGCATATCCGACGTCTACTCGGCGACACAACAGCGTGTCTAAACATCTTTCCTGAACACCTGCTCTTGTTGAACTCGTGATAAAAACAATCTGGTACATGGATGTACCGAAGGCTCTCATGCCTTGGACAAACGAATCTCTAATTGAGTATTGACCACCGGAGATCCTATTACCATTAATACTAACTGTGCTAAGTACGTTTGTGCCTTGTGGCGCTTACAACCAGCAATGCAACTTTGCAAGGTTACCAGTCTTTGGTCCGAACGTTAATTTGTGGCGGCGCATGTCCTCGGTCCGAATCGGAGGACGGAAGCACATTCAGAGTACAGTGCTAGTCCCTGGTTGCCACACTCGAACTCACTATCCCTGTGCGTGAGTCCTGGGAACAAAGCATAGTTGTCGTCAGAAAAGGTTTGGCGCTGGCGCCGTCGTGTTACGCATCACCACGGTCGCGCCAGCATCTCATGTTCTCAAGCTTAGTATATCCCTAGATTCGGAACATTGTAACGTGTTGAAGAAGCTTCCGTGCTTTTCCCCACTGACTACGAAAGATTAAACCACAGCTTTTCTTATTTAATTAAGTTGCTCTAACGAAGGTGGCCGCGGTCGTAATCTTGTGCCGGTGTAAATTCGCTGTCTGAGTCTTGCCGAATTTCGCGTGCACACCTTGACAAATTGATACAGAATGTGGGATATGAAGCAATACTGTCTTCAAATTAAATGAATTTAGAAAATATATTATTGTAGACTATACTGGTGAACTCAAAACATTTTATCGTCTTCAGTAGAACCAATGATACAGTAAATTTGGACCGAGATAGTGACGCAGGTACAGTTATTGTTCGACTAAGAGCTTAAATAATTTGTAACTCAGCAAGCCTAATAGTTATTACTACAGTACTTTTACTACAGTACTTTTGAAGTTTGAATTAATGTACGTACAAGTATTATAATTATTGTTACGTAATCTATGATGTTTTGTTGATGTAGCACGTGCTCTTTTAACCGTCAACTTGAAGGTGACCCCTATGACGCTTGACGCAAACCATCTCCATACTCGTGCAACTATCACAACAGGGACGAAACACATCTGGAGCCTAATTTAGGAAAATATACGTCGATATCAACAATTCCGTCCATCTTACAAGGCAGAATTCTTGCGTAGTACAAAGCTACTTCCCAAATCAGTACACGTTCCCTTCATCCGCCCTTGCTCATAGTCTAATATGTATAGTTGCCGTTGTCCGGTCCAGGACCGCTGTGGACCGGGTCCGGTCCGATTGAGGTCCGGTCCAGTTGGGTCCAACAGGGGTCCAGTCTGCGGTCCAGCGTTTGACAAAAGTTTCCAGACTGCTTTGGACCGCCTGGACCCTGGACTGGACTGTGGACCGTTTATATTGTAGATACTTTTAACAAGCATAGCAGGAGTGCCCCAAACTCTCTCTCTTTGAGACATCAAGCAAGTGTCTGCCTTATATACTACATAGTGAAGTCCAATAGTCTGAGACATTCTAAGTATAGTAACTCTATATAAGGCAATTGGGGATTTCCTAATCCAGAGCACAATCTAATACTCCCCTTCAAGCATTAATTAAGAACTAGGACTGTATGCCTAATAGTTTGTTTAGATGCTTGATCTGTAGGATGTAGAGAGCTTTTGTAAGGATGTCTGCTAATTGGTTCTGTGATTGAATATAGTATACATTAATGTAATTGTTTTGAATGTAACATTACACAAAGTCTTTTTGTAAATCAAAGTGTTTAGTGTGAGTGTTGTACATTATTTTGTCAGACTTTACAGTCTTTATTACACCTTGATTATTACAATAAATTGTAATGGGTGCTGATTCAGTCTGTAGTACTTCTTCAGTGAATTGTTTGAGCCAAATGGCTTCTTGAGTAGTATACACTAGCACTTACAACTCTACTTTGTAAACAGATAGTAGTACCAGGTTTTACTGTTTGCTTGACTAGAATATGGTTGATTTAGCTAATTGAAAGATGTAACTGTTTATTACTTTATGTCCTTCTGTCATTTGTCTATCTGTATTACAATAGCCTTATAGTTTTAAAGTGTTTGTGCTTCCAAGTTGAAGCTAGTAATTCATTATATATTTTAAATATGTAAAGTAATGTTTCACTACTTTGTAGTAATACATTTAGGGCTTTTGTAGGTAGTGTGCTAATTGCCCAGTAGTATAAGATATGTCTGGCTGTGTACAATCTGTAACATATCTTAACAATCCTACCATATTCATGTATAGTATTGTTTCATTATTACTTTTGTTTGTATTTTTTAACAAGTATAGCAGGAGTGTCCTAAGTACTCTCTCTCTTATTGAGACATCAAGTAAGTGTCTACCTTATATACTACATAGTGAAGTCTGATAGTCTGAGACATTCTAAGTGTAGTAACTCTACATAAGGCAATTGGGGATTTCCTAATCTAGAGCACAATCTAATACTCCCCTTCAAGTATTAATTAAGAACTAGGACTGTATGCCTAATAGTTTGTTTAGATGCTTGATCTGTAGGATGTAGAGAGCTTTTGTAAGGATGTCTGCTAATTGGTTCTGTGATTGAACATAGTATACATTAATATAAGTGTTTTGAATATAACATTGTACAAAGTCTTTTTGTAAATCAAGGTGTTTAGTACAAGCATTGTATGTTATTTTGTCAGACTTTACAGTCTTTATTACACCTTGATTATTGTAATAAATTGTAATGGGTGCCAATTCAGTCTGTAGTACTTCTTCAGCAAATCGTTTGAGCCAAATAGCTTCTTGAGTAGTATATGCTAGCACTTGCAACTCTGCTTTGTAAACAGATAGTAGTACCAGGTTTTACTGTTTGCTTGACTAAGGTATGGTTAATTTAGCTAATTGAAAGATGTAGCTGTTTATTACTTTATGTCCTTCTGTCATTCGTCTGTCTGCATCACAATAGTCTCATAGTTTTAAGGTGTTCATGCTTCCAAGTTGAAGCCAACAATTTGTCATATATTTTAAATATACAAAGCAATGTTTCACTACTTTGTAGTAATACGTTTGAGGCTTTTGTAAGTAGCACACTAATTGCCTAGTAATATAAGATATGTCTGGCTGTGTGCAGTCTACAACATATCTTAACAATCCTACCATATTCATGTATAGTGTTGGTTCATTATTACTTTTGTTTGTATCATACATATTGTTTGTATTGTTAGATAAATCTATTCCAGGAGTAATAGGCATTCATAGTGTCTTTTTGTTTTCAAAGTGGTAACACTTGATTATACTTTCAATATAATACTTTTACTATAAGCTAATTGTTTGTTAAGGTCTATCTCAGCTTATTTCAATACTAAGTAACTAATGTATTTTGTTACTGTCAGTAAATACAACGTGTTGTCTTAATGCATGTTTAAATGCTGTTATTATAGTAATAGTTTTACTAATAATCATAATATTGTTAATGTGCATAAATGTTACAAGAATCGTTTTATTATTTTGTTTCTTGTAAAATACAGTATGATTGTAATTAGCTTGTTCTAATCTGATCTTAAGCAGTAGTTCAGTAATCTTCTTGTACCATTGTCTACCTACTTGTTTCAATCCATATAATGCTTTATTTAAGTGTAACACTTGTCCAGGTTTAATATCTGTAAGTAGCCTGCCTGGTAGTGGTTTCACATAAATGAGTTTGTCCTCATTTAGTTCTCTGTAAAGATATGCAGATTTTACATCTATCTAATGTATTTCATAGTTCTTAGATGCTGCCCAAGATAACAATAATTGTACTGTTGATAGTTTTGTTACTAGAGCAAATAAGTTGTCAGAATAGAAGTCTATTCCATTCTTTTGAGCATATCCTTGCACTACAAATTGTGCTTTGTATTTGTCTATTTGGCTGTTAGCCAGTCTTTTGATTTTATAGACAAATTTCGTTCCAATTATATTTGTATTCATAGGGGGGATAGTATATATCCATGTGTTTTGTTGTTAAAGTGACTGTATTTCATCCTTCATAGCTTTGATTTACTGTTCTTTGTCTATACATGTTATAGTATTGTAATACATTAATGGATTGTTATAGACTTTATTAAGGAATTCATTAAATTCTGTTAGATACATAGCTAGGTTTATATTGTTTTTGTAATTTAAACCTATAGTTTGTTTAACCAGTCTTCACTCTTGTGTAGAGCATTGTATGACAGGTTCTTTATCTTTATTATTGTTATTAGGAAGAGTTTCATTGTTTGATGTATCATTGTTATGATTATTCTCCCCTTCAATCCTAGACATTAGTTTGTCTATGAATTGTACATTACATTTGACAGTAACTTTATTATCATAGTACACTAAGTGACCTTTACTGTCACTATTATAACCTAGCTATCATATGTGTTAGCCTCTAGGTTATAGTTTATGTGTTTGTTCGTTCTGTATAATACAATATGCACCAAATTCTCATATATTATCTATTTGATAATGTTCATTATACTGTTTGTAATATAGTGTT